TATAGAGATGGATATGGTTATGTGGGTGATACTGCCGTAACTGGTGAATTCAGTGTTGGGTGCATGTGTCCACACTTAAATACATACAGAAGAGGGCCTGTGAGACGGCTCAGCAAAGAAAGGGGCTTGCTGGCAAGCCTGAAGACCTGAGTTTGATCCCTGCTGTCCACGTGGTGAAAGAGAGAACGGACTCTTGTATATTGTGCTTTGAGTTTTGAGTCTAACTCAAGCAAGTTGGGTGCCTGGTGGGGACTAGATGCCTGTATGCAAGTGGGGTCTCTGTAGAGACTGGGTGGCCTGGCAGTAGCTGTGCCCAGCAGGGTGGAGTGAGATGTGTCATTCCACAGAGGTGTAGGGTGTCTGGTTCCCAAGGTACCTACCATTCATGTGTTCCCTTGACTCCATGATGCAGGGACCTAGAAATATATAGAACCAGTGTGTCAGGAGGTGAGGCCAGGCAAACTCGTGGTGTAAGGGGGATGAATCCAAGTGGTAGTGCCCCCCACCCCCTCTTCCCTGAAAGACTCCAAAGATGGTGTCCATGGGTTCTGGAACCTTCTCCACTCACTCTGAGCAGTGGGGAACCTCACCCATGCCTGATAGATGGTCACAACAGAACCTCGAATGGAGGCTGTCTCAAGGAGACTGGTCCCCAGAAGACTTGAAGTGACATCATACTAATTTGTGGGGCATAGCTGAGATGGTCGTTCCAGCTTTCCAAGGCGAACACCAGGGTCCTATGGTGTACTTCGCAATGGCGTGTAGATGTACCCCAGGGACAGGCTGCATAAGGATGGACCTTGGTGCATCTCCCCACACTTCTGTCTTAGACATTCACCAGGGTGTCTGCCGGAAGCTAGGGGCTTGTATGTTAGGATATCACGAGATGGAAACAGTGCTACAGTGTCCAGCATCAGCCTGGGGTCCGTGGCTGGGCAATGAGAGTACACGATGTCTTCACTGTCTGAAGCCAGCTCAGCTGGACTGCTGGCAACAGAGGTCGGGCCACACTGAGGAAGGAATAGCGAGGTAGCCCAAGGCGCCCCTCCTTCCTGGCTCATTTGTCCCTTCTTTCCTTACAGGTCACCTCTGCCCCTCAGGAGACACCTACAATTGTCCATGCTCCTGCACCAGAGCCCGAGCTACAGCCAGTGCCCCCCACAGACAGTCTATCCAGAGCCACCAGGACCACCCAGGAGCTGCGGCCAGTGTCCAGTCAGCAGAGCAGCCGGGACAGCTGGGATGGGGATGGAGTAGACCTCACAGCCACAGGTAGAGTCATGTTTTTCATCTCTCCATATAGACTGAGCCTGAGCCAGCCTATGGGCTGCAGCTCTGGAGGCTGAGCTGGGACACCGAGGTCAGAGATGGTTCCAGCTCACATTCTTGGCAGTCTGCTTTTTGGGATTTGGAGTTTTCACTTCATGTTCTGTGATGAATTTACCTGTGCACTGACCGATCACTCATGCCTGTAAATTCCGCCGCTGCAGCAAAGATGAGCCTGCAGGTTGTTTCTGGGTAAGGTCCTGAGCACCAGTGAAGGCTTCCCGAGTGCTGGGCCAGCAGCCATGAGAATGTCCATGTCGGGGCTTCCCGACTTGGTGCCCTCATGCACCTTTGTTGTTGTTCATTGGCTTTTGAGAGAGTTGTGGCTAGGGTGGCTCTCCTGACCCCATCGGCCTCTTTGGGCTCTTAGGGCCTTTACTGTAGGTACCGAGAACACAGTGGACATTTATGTCTTTGTAGCCTCTTCTTAAGTTCTGGGGAGCCACTGTGGACCATGCAAGACTCCCTGAAGCAGTCTGTAATGGAGAGGACCTGTGGGAACCTGATCCATACTGTCCCTGAGGAGTAATGGAGACTCAAGGATCAGCCTTGCCACTGAGGGGATAGATAAGCCCTCACTTGCTAGAAAATAGTAGGAGCTGGGGCTGGGGAATGTGACTGGCCAGCCAGAGATCATGTGGCACATGCGTTTGGATCACCACAGGCCCAGACTTTGATCTGGAATGTTTGTTCATCTTGCAGTTGACCCCATACCAATCTCCTGCCCTCTTAGATGTGGACTCAGTTCACAGATGGACCCAACAGACCAAGCGCTGATGCCTTGGGGGCCTGAGGGGCTTCAAACACTGGCAGGTGTGGACAGGGTGTTCATACAGCAAAGGAGGGGGTGCAGGGCGGATGCTGCCAGAGACTGTCACCCTCTTACCCCTACACGCCCATATTCATCCAACATGCTGAGAGAGAGCCTTGCATCTGTGAGATGGCATGGCAATGGTGGGCCTGGCTTCCATAGCAGGTATAGCATCTGGCACAAGGGAAAGGCTTGTTGTATGTGAGCCTCAGCACTTAGTCAGCATTGTTGGGTCAATAGGCAGAATGCCATGCTTGTGTGAGCAGCACTTCCCTTAGTTCTGCAGGCCTGCCCTGTGGAAGCCTGGATGCTCTGATTTGGCATGAGCCCTCTGAGGGAGGACATGCCCTTGTGGACTGAGTCTTGAAAGCTCATTTGTCTCTGCATTTCTGACCCACTTCCCCAGGCAAAGTCTATGATGAGATATATCTGCAGGGCCCAACAATGTGGCCACTGTGTGGGAAGAGGTGCACCTGCCTTGGGCTGAGGGACCTTCAGCAAATTCTGTTTCCCAAAGTGAGTCTGTGAGATATGCCTGGTGGCTGGTGGTCCATGAGCTCTGTGACACTAGGCAAGCAGAGGCTTGCGTGTTTGTGTTTGTATATGCCATTTCACATCAGCAGAACAGTGTGCAGTGGGTTCAGAGAGGCTGTGGCACTCATCCCTGTTACACAGCAGTGGTAGGGTACTGGGGAAGGTACTGAACCCTGTGCCTGGCTCCTACAGCCTGATCAACTGTGGCCCAGTATTAACCCTGGCCCAGAAAGTTCCAGGTCACAAGTTTAGGGGATGACATTTCAATTTCCAGTATGGAGCCCTGTTTGGAGCCTTTGGGGATAAGCCTTGTCTCATCTGAGTCCCTGACAGTGACTCCTGGGTGATGACCCTGAGTCATCATTGTGAGCAAAGGCTACAACCTGACTCCCTCTAGAGGCTGCACTGGGCATGGGGGTATGAGTGACAGGTGTCTGTCTGATTACACTGGGGCCACAATCAGATATAGACCTACTCAGGGCATATTCAGGTACACGTCTATCTCATTTGCTCAGATGTGTACACACGCGTGCGTGTGTGTGCGCGCGCACGTGCGCAAACACACACACACACACACACACACACACACACACACACACACACACACACACACCCCTATGCATTTCCCTTCTTTCTGAGGCTTCACACCAAGGAAACACTAGGGTCCTGCTGTGGTGGCTTCAGCCAGTTCTGAATAGCACAGTCCTTGCTGAAGGTGGTTTGCTCATGGTAGGAAAAGGATGTATACTGCCTGGCAAGGCTGCAAATACCTCAGCCAACCATTTCTCAGCTCCGCTTCCCTGCAAACATGCTATATATAGAAGCCAGTGCCCCCAGGAATTCCAGTGCCAAGCAATGAGTTTGGAGCCATTTGGTTTTACCCACCAATTTTCTAGAGTTTGTCAGATTTGGTGTCACTTAGGGAACAGGGCAACCTCTGTGTCAGGAATGGAATTGCCCATGGTGAAGCTTCTGGTGGCTAACCAGACATCCTTTGTGTGGGCAGCATCGATTCACAGGCACTTTATTAGGAGAATTATTGCTGGTTGTAGGCACAGGTCTAGGCCATGGGGAAAAGGACAGGCATCTGCCAGGCCCTTTGGGCCCATTTCTCTATCCTTTGAGGACCATAGTGATCCAAGCCATGGTTCCTCTAGACAGCAAGGTCCAAAGGAACATAGGGCTGATGGCCAGTCCTTTGGTGAGGAGAAGGATGTGGTTTGAAGTCTGGGGTGGACAGCCATCCCTGCAGCGTGAGGGCACTTGGCTCTGTCAACAGCTTTCTGTAGTCAGACCAAGAACCATTTTAATGTGCATATGGAGTGGAAGTTGGCAAGGTGGGAGTGGGTTCTCACTGCAGCTGTCCTGTGCTGAGCGCAGGCTCCTTGGAATGGAAGTGGTACACACTATACAATGTCAGGAAGGAGACGGCATTGTGTCCAGGTTTCCAAGCCCCTAGCCTTATGTGGCAAAGTTCAGGACCTCCCGAAGCCTCAGCTGCTCCAACTGCAGAATGGGCACTGTAAAAATGAGGCCATGCAACTGAGGCAGTGTCAGGGGCATGGCGTAAACGCGAAGACACATTGATAGCTGCAGGGCAAGGTTGCATAGGTTACACACTCTACAACAGGAGTGTGTGTCATTCTTGTCTCTGAATGTGCTTTCTGCATGGCCATGGGGTAGCCATCTGCCACGTTAGATGGATGGTGGACTCGTACGTCCTTTCTGGGTTGTGTAGCAGTTTCTCATGTGACAAGCAATGTTATCAGCAGACAGTAGAAGTTGCAGTCCCCACTGGTAAGCTGAGCACTATGTGCCAAAAGCCATGCCCAGCCATTCTGGCCCTAG